ACTCCAAGAACCCAAAGAAGGATAACTTTATTTCAAGTTCCCAATTTCCCTGGAAATGCCTCCAATTGGCCCAATTTCATTAATTGCCCGCCTTAGATCAACCAAATACAGCTGTTGCTCATGATCAATTGTGTCCAACTCTTTGCAACCCCATGGACCGTAGCTTACCAGGCTGCCCTGTCCATGAGGTTCTCCAGGCAAGGATCCTGGAGTGGGCTGCCATTCCCTTCTCCAGGGGATCCTCCAACCCAGGGATCGAACCCACATCTCTTGTGTCTCCTTCATTGGCAGGCGGGTTCTTTACCACTAGCACCACGGAGGTGAGGTTAAAAATATGGCCAGGCGGCTGAGTAGCCAGTCTCATAAGTGTCTGCCACATTTTCAAATTCTTCAGTTTCCAAGGAAAAAATATGGTCAGAGTAAACTATTTCAAAGGTATTCATGATAGTTGCTATAAAACACAAGGTTTTCTAAGGCAATAATGCTCAATTTTATTTCTATTAAAAATGTGTGGTAACAATAGAAAATTCCTAAGCAAATATATATATTTGCTTTGTTTTAAAAATAAATTTATTTTATTACACGATAATACTGACAGTTTACATAAATGAGGTCATTCAGTATAGGCAAAAAAAAATTATAAAATACATTTTAAAAACATAGGAAAATCTTTGAAGTTCTTTCTTGGTAGTTCAGATCTACCAAATTTCAAGAGACACATTTTAGCATCAAAACAAAATTTCCAAGCTTAATTTCCTTGAGAGATTCCATTGGTCAACCAACCTCGGTTAAGGAAAGAAGAAACATTTAGCATTTTTAAAAATTTTAAATGCTCTAATGAACATTTGTTTCAAGCACTCTTAGTAAAGACTGAGAAAGAGAAAGCATGAAGAAACTCAGAAGAAGCTTTTGAAAAGAGTGTATACAACATGAATCAGGTGAAACTGATCCTATTTCAAGGATGGTCATTGTTTGACCTAGTTCTTACTGATATTTGAGCTGTTCCTGTGTTATACTTAAGCACGGCCTCATTCTCACTTGAAATACGGCATGTTATAAAAAAGTAATACAGAACTTCACCTTTTCTCTGAATTCTCTGCTTCATTTCAGGCATGAAGTCTACACTGCAAATTACAATTTACAAAGATTCTGGAAAAGCTGCTTTGCCGACAGGCACAACAGCCAAATTGTAGTAATTTGAGGACATCTGCCATCAGTTTTTATAAATGATCCACCCAGTCAAGGTAGGAAATTCCATATTCTACGGAATTTTGACTAAATGTGCATTCTGCTTTTTCAGATTTAAAAAGAATCTTTATTAAATGCAATATGGAGTTGAAGGAGCATTTGGCAAGATGGTCCCAAGTAACAGCTGACTATGGTCATAATTTGATTGCACTAAAATTCATCTGAGAGCAATCACAGGTACTGTTTTCTTGTGTGCTAAGTCATTTCAGTTGTGTCCGACTCTTTGTGACCCTACAGACCATAGCCCACAAGGCTCCTCTATCCATGGGACTCTCTAGGCAAGAGTGCTAGAGTGGGTTTCCATGCCCTCCTCCAGGGGATCTTCCCAACCCAGGGATCGAACCTGTGTCTCTTAAGTATTCTGCATTAGCAGGTGAGTTCTTTACCACTAGTGCCACCTGGGAAGCCCCAGAAGAACAAAAATGAGGATATGCCTCATACATCTCTGCCTGGGCTCTGCTGTGCTGTCCCTGACCATTTACCCCAGGATGAATAGCCTCTTCCAGTCCTTTATCTATCCTTTAGCAAGCATAAACATTTATCTGGAGCTTAAAGATGGTCATGCAATTACTTTCCATCTCTGTCATTTTCCTAACTGTGGGACAAATCTGTTTGCTTTATTTTTTTTTTCATTTATTTTTATTAGTTGGAGGCTAATTACTTTACATCATTGCAGTGGTTTTTGTCATACATCTGTTTGCTTTAGAAATGTAAAAATGTATGTATATCACTGAGAATTTACAAAGGAGCAAAGAAACATAATGAAAGTCAAGCCTATAGAAAGCATGATGGTAACAGTATCATATATCCAGGACTATGCAACCTGAGTTTCTGCAGGAAAATGTACCAGTGCCTCAGTCACTGCACACACAGTTTAGTGTAATGTCTTGGGTTATATTGTGCATTAGGTTGCAACAACTCCAGTGAACAAAAATGATGGTTAAGAGCAAACTTTGAACTTGGCTAAATATTGGTTCCAATTTCAGCTCCACCAATTCCTAACTCTATAAATCAGGGTTAGATTATGTAACTTCTTGTGTTGTGTTAGTCACTCAGTCGTGTCTGACTCTTTGCGACCCCATGGATTGTGGCCTGCCAGGCTTTTCTGTCCGTGGGATTCTCCAGGCAAGAATACTGGAGTGGATTGCCATTCCCTTCTCCAGAATATCTTCAAGACCCAGGGATCAAATCCGGGTCTCCTGCATTGTAGGCAGATTCTTTACCGTCTAAGCCATCAGGGAATGTCCTTTAGCTTCTTAAGGTCTGCTTCTGTACATGAGAAATGAGGATCATAGGTTTTTGAAAGAATTAAAGGAAATAATGTATTTCAAACTCTTAGCACATAGTAAGTGTTGGATAAATGGTAATTTTATTATTAATGCAATTCCTAAGATCTAAACTCCTTCCTACTCTTCTTTTTTGTTTGGCTAGTAATTTTGGTGACAAAACTTAACTGGAAGTTTATTAAAATGTCCCTGCTTAACTGGGTGCTTTTCCCAAATACTATATAATAATAAAATTACTCATTATTATCATAAAAACATAGTAAACAACACAAATTAACATTACCGACAAAAAGCAAATACATTATTTAAAATTCATTTTGCTAGCTGTTTCCTGAGACACATTCTGTCCATTTTCAAATGAGTAAGAAGATACTTTGTAACTTGTCATCATCCTGGAGTAATCTTCAGAGACTATAGGAAAAAGGAAAGAAAAGAAAAAAAAGAAAAAAGCAAGTCATTAAAAAGAAACTTATTATGTAATAAAAAGAAAAAAACACACACACACAAACTCAAGCAGGAAACTGTGGGTACTCTGTGGGTACCACTGTCAAGTTTGTTATTAACCTCTCTATCTGAACCTGTATTCATTTTGTTCTTCAAAACTTGTCCTCCTCAAGATTGAGGAATATACAAGAAAAGGGGGGAATTGTAACCGAGCAAGACCCTATGGGGCCTTCCTGAGATCTGCCTTCACCCATATCCTCTGCTTCATGTACTCTCTCAAGTACCTAATTAATAGTATTTGATGCAAATTTCCTGACTTATTTTGGCAATGGGAAAACCTCCCACCAAATGGAAGAAGTTACCTACCTGATGACCCTGAACACATAGCCCCAAGTCTCCTGGAACCTTAAAACTGATAATGTTAATCCCTATGACAACACCCTGCTGCCTCATCATCAGCCATTCAGAGAAATGCACAAGCTGATCACGTACCCAGCCATTCCACCTCCCACTTGCCCTTTAAAAAGGCTTTGCCGAAACCCTTAGGGAGCTCCAGATTTTTCAGGGCATGAGCCACCTATTCTCCTTGCTATCTCATAAAACATACACACACACACCAAAAATAAAACAAAACCCTCCAGAATCAGTATTTTTGTTTTCAATTCATTCATGTCATTCTGATAATAAGCAAGAAGAACATTATAATTTCTCAATAATCATTTATTATATTCTATTGTTCTGTTGAACAATTCTGGAAAAGGAGACTTTGCTAGGCAAGCTACGGAAAGCCACCATTTTCTCCTGTTGGATGAACAAGGCAGCGTGTGGCCATGGTTGCTGCTAGCTTCTTCTATGACCTAAAAGGACTTAGCCAAGGATGAAGCCAACTCTTGGAATGGTAAGCAGAAAGGCAGAAATAATAGTTCTCTGCATGAGAACTCTGGTACAAGCAAACATGAACGTTCTCTTTCCTCTGGACTGCCAGTGCATGTGAGGCAATACATCGCCTTTCTTTTAAACCAGCTTGGTGGGGTTTGATGCCATTATAGACCAGATTGCCCTGCCTGACTCAGCCAGCTATGTTCCATCTGCCCCCTGGAGCCGTCCCCTGCTCAGTACTCCAGGGGCAGCCCAGACTGCAGCCTGAGCTATGGACTGCTTCACATGGGCTCCCATGCCCCCCTGAGTTCCTGTTGGGTTTGGCTAGTGAAAGGTACTTGCTGAAGATCTGAAGGCAAGAGGACAGAGGTTTGGGGATATTCTTCTCCCACTCCTGCCTCCTTCCTTGTTCAGGTGCTGACCATGGCTATTCCCATCCATAGCTACAGCTTCTGCCTGGTGGGCCCGAGAGCACAGCCAGCTTCTCAATGGCAAGCTAAGTGTTTTTCAGCCCTTTCAGGCCTAGGTGGGGGACAGCCTCCAGCAGTTGCTAGACTCTGGGAGCCTCAATATTCCTATGGGTTCCCTCAACCCTGCCCTCCCAGCCCCTTCATCAAAATGCCTTTGTTGGATCATCTGAGAGAAGTTGTGACTCCTGCTGGGATCTCAAATGATGGAGCATTTAAAAGAGCCTTGAACAGTGCTTGGAATGTGGTAAATGCTCTGTAAATGTGGTTATTATTAAAACACTGCTTTTGCTATTTCTTTTCAAAGTGAGATGTCTAAACTAAAATTTTTATTTGTGTCCCCCAGTGAAAAATATATCAAATATCTTATAATATTTTATAAGAATATAAAATCACCACCACAACCATGCAGAACTAGAAACCAGAATGATCTAAGTGCATCGGAAAAACTGTGTAAAAGTCTATATCCTATCTCTGTGGTACCATGCAAAAGAAAGATATGATAAAGTCTTTTATTTGGCTTCAGATTCAATGAAAAAAATGTCAATTTATTTTTAGATGATTTTAAACATAATCAAATTCCAATCAATGATTTACTGGATGCCATGAAACCCCACTTCACCAGGCAAATGTCACCGAAAGAGCTCCCCATCTACTAAGTTTATCATACTTACCATTAAGCAATACTAGTCTCTTGAATATCATCATTTATAGGAGTTATATCTTTACCCAGAGTTCCCATTTCTTCTTCCTTCTTTCTTCTTTTCCGACGTTTCCGAAGAGGACTTGGAAAACAAAGTGTTAGAAATTAGCATGGTCCTTTTAGTTAATGCAGTCACAAAATTAAACATCAAGAAAGCCTATGATCTTATTTCCAGACTGGTAAAAATGTACAGGTTCATTAAAAAAAAAATTTAGGTTCTCTCTTAACCCATCCCTTTCTCTAGGCTCAAATAGCTACAATGGCAAAAGTACAGAGAGAATGTAGTTATAGCTACATAGGACGAATATAGTACTTGATTGTGGATAGAGCTTGTTGAGCACAAGAAAACTTTTCAGGCCAAGTCATTTTATAGAATAGACTGATAAGCATTATTTAGTATGTAAATAAAAGATAGTACAAAATGGAAACCGATATAAAACTAAGAGAATGAGGGTAATCTCTGAATATGTTAATTAAGTTTCTAGATAAATTATTTAAGAAATGTATTAGATATTCTGTAGTGCAGTTCAGTTTTCTTAAAATATGATACAAAATGAATGTAATAAAATAGAGCATTTCCCCACTCTGCCCCAAACTTGGCATTCTAAAATTCCTTTTTGCCATAAAGGAAGTAAAATGTTACAAATATCTTTCAATTTTATATCTAGAAGGAATCCTACAGATTATTTGTAAATGAGAGTTTAATCCTCTCATTTTACAGAAAATAAAATTAGAGTTTAAAGAGATTAAGAAGTTTGTCCAAGTTCTCAAAAGTGTTTGATGGCACAGCTGGGACAAAAATCTCTGTAGACAGCTGGTAGCTGTGTTAACGCTTTTCTACCAAGAATGCTTAAAGAAAGGAGTCATGTAACACCCTCCTGTAATGAGAACCACAGTCCAAAGTACAGTTTAGGAGGCTTCTCAAGACATGCAGGTAGCATTTTAAGAAAATGCTTTTTTAGCATGCTTTGTGGGAGTCCTGGCCTGATAAAACATTTGATGAGTTTCCAAAACTAAAGCATTGTACTAAGCCATTCTGTCTCACAGAAAAAAAACAAGGATTTTCTTGATTAACAAAGTTGAGGTATATAATGAAAAATAGAGACAGGAGAAACAGTGCAGGCATCTTAATAATAAAATTCATTATTTTAATGTGACTAATTAAAAATACTTTTGTTTCTGTCTTTCAAAGTTTTTGTGCCATGGTACAGTTTAAGAAAAGTATTGTTTAAACTATTAACAAACTTACATCAAAGGTGATGGACTCTAGGGCTAAATAATTGACTTTTTTTTATTTCCTTGGACTACAAGGAGATTAAACCTGTCAATCCTAAAGGAAATCAACCCTGAATATTCATTGGAAGGACTGATACTGAAGCTGAAGCACCAATCCTTTTTGGCCACCTGACGTGAAGAGCTAATTCACTGGAAAAGACCCTGATGCTGGGAAAGATTGAAGGAAGGAGGAGAAGGGGACAACAGCTCAAACTCAAGGAGATAGTGAAGGACCAGGAGGCCGGGCGTGCTGCAGTTCATGGGGTTGCAGAGAGTTGGACCTGACTTGGCAACTGAACAACAAAACTGACATTTTTAATTGATATATAATTGATGTATAGCATTTTATTCATTTCAGGTATGACTTGATATTTGTTTATATTGAAAATGATCACCACAATAAGTTTAGTATTTAATATCCATCTCCACATTTACAAAATTTTTCATTCTTGTGATGAGAACTTTCCAGATCTCCTCTCTAAGAAACTTTCAAATATTCAAGACTGTATTATTAACTATAATCACTATGTGTACATTACATCCCATGACCTGTTTATCTTATAAGTTTATACGTTTGGGTCGCCTTCATCCATCTTGCCCACTTCCTCTTTCTCAGAGGCTTTATATAAATTTTATTTTAATTATAATTACGCTTAGAAAAATGACAAAAATCATGTTATGTATTTATTATAAATGCTTCAGAATAAATGATGGGGAACTGTAAAAAGTAATTTAGATTTTTAAAAAAGGGAAAGAGAAAAGGCAGGAAGGAGGGTAGGAAAGAAGACAGGAAAGGAAAGATAAAAGTTCTTAGACTTCCTTAAAATTAAATTTAAAAATACTTACTGACAGCATGTGCAGATACTGACCACCAAAATGATAAAAATTACCATAACTGCTATCAAACAAATCACCAAAATCTGCCCTCTGTCTCCTCTTAGGTAAAACAAGTCAATTCTCTCACATCTGGCCCCAGCATAGCCTTTATCACAGCTATAAAAATAGAACAAAAACAGGACAACAAGGTCAAAAAGTAAAAAGACTTTTACGAATCTCTACTATTTCTTTGTTGAAGAAGTTAACACTTTTTTCATTACTTGGAATTAACAAAGGGTACAATTCCTTTAAAAAAATGTGTTTAATCTGTACAATCACTGTGTTCATGAGAAATTTCATTCTTTGCTGAAAACCTGTTATCCTTTGAACATCATTAACAATATGTCTAAGATAAATAAATGGGGAGGGTAACACTAAAATCGACCTTGAAATTTTAGATTCTGAGTTTGAAAGGGAGGGGGTGATAAAATCCCCTATACAGCACTCACAAGTGCTTAAATATCCCTGGACAGGGAATTCAAAAATCCCCAGGATTTCCCATTTCATCAGAGGGTGATACAAAGAGTTTCACTGTGCCTGAGTTCTCCTATTATAAATTATATTTAAAGGATACAGTTTTATATGATCAAACATGGAATGTACAAAAAGCTCTGTAAATGTTATTTTATAGGATTTCTCTCCACAAACCTTCCCCCACCCCCTGGCCTCTCTTTTGATCTTCCATACATCAGTTCTGGTTCTAATGCTTGTAGGAGTTGCAGATTAGGTAAGTCTCTTCCATTCACCACCTCCCCAGCTGCATCCCCTCAAAACACAATAGATGTCCTCTCCAGTTCCTTTATCTGATTCTCTAAAGCCACAGTTTCAGATCTGTGCACCATTCCCTATGTGCTTGGGAGCGCGGTCGTGTCTGACTCTTTTGGGAACGCCATAGACTGTAGCCCACCAGGCTCCTCTGTCCATAGGATTTTTCAGGCAAGAATACTGGTATGAGTTGCCATTTCCTCCTCCAGGGTATCTTCCCCACACAAGGATCAAACCTGTGCCTACTACATTGCAAGGAGACTCTTTACCCTCTGAGTCATCGGGAAGCCCCACCTTTCCCTCTGCTCTCTGAAGGCCCCTCTGCTGCATGCATGGTCATGGTAAAGTGAAGGAATCAGAAATCAGCAAGCTCTCCAAATGCCCCAATCCCCCCTCTCATTCTCTCATCAACTTCATCAATACAATCCTGAGTTGACCTCAGCTTAGCAGATGCCCCCTGTCTGAAGTTACAGAGCCATTTGACCAAGCACCACCTAAAATTCAGTAACCTGGGGACTGTCCATTGCAGTCCCTGACTTGTGTCAGATGCCTAAAGGATGCGCAAAAAGTTTGTCTGAAGATATCTGAAAACCAAAATGATGTGTTGTAACATCACTACTTTTGGCTATCAAATATCTTCTCTTTTTTTCTCCTCAGACTCATTCCAAACACAAAGAGATACTGGTTGTATACATAATTATTTAAATCTCAGAAAGATGAAGCTCTGCTTCTTAAAAAGATGGCTGTGTAATTTCATTTTTTGTTGTCTTTGTTTGTTTAAGAAGGTGTCTATTGCCAAGCCACTCTAGAGTCTATATCTGATAAAAAGACAAGACAGCTTTATTTCTCAAATAAGGAGGTCCCTGACTGATGATATTGTAGCTGCTACAATGATTAAAAAAAAAGAAAAGAAAAACTAGCTTGGTCACAGCCATCAGTTGAAAGATGAGGCTCTATGTAAGCAAAGGAGAAAAAAAACACCTGAGGCCATCTATTGTAAAATGACCCCAGGATGTATGAGGGAAAATTGCTTCCTGCAAGATAGCTAGGCTCTTCATCGCAAGGTCAAAATAACAGGAAGAGAGCTTAGAAATATCTGAAATATCAAAAAATCTCTTGCACATAGAACTGGAAATGGGGGGGGGGGAATCACTTTTAATTGCAAGTGTGGGAGGGAGGTTTTAATGGGTTTTTTTAAGGTTATAATTAAAATCTACAAATATAGTCTCATCTAATTAGCTGGAATGTTTCTCTAACAAATTTACTAAATACGGCATTTTTAAACAATAACTTTGCCCATAAAGTACATGGGAATTACTTGCTACTCTTTTAGAATGTTTTCCTAATTATAAGCTCTGGGTTCAGTTACTCACCCATGCTTTAAATGAATTTCTCAGTAAGCAGTCCTTCCTATAAGTTATAACCCAGTGAAGCTATGTAGAAGGTCAAACCCTTACACAGCTAGTTACAATGACTCATGTTATTTCATTGCTCATCTAATTAATAACGTATCAGCTAATGGTCATTTCAGTGGGAAAGGAAGAGGAAAAGGGTGAAAGATGCTAGCAAATGTTTAATAAATGCTGAGCAAATGAACGAGTTTTTATTTAATAAACATTTCATAAATTAAAAATAACATTTAAAGATGCTATGACCCTTGAGGACTCTGGGATCTCTGTTCTGAAATAATCACTAGGCACTATTGTAAGAACTTTATAAGTATCAACTAATTGATCCTTATAACAACCTTTGAAATAGTATTGTTAACCCCTTTTGGAAGATGGAGAAGCTGAGATATAAAGAAAGTAGGTGAGTGGAGGCTAGGATTCAAACACAGGAAGTCTGGCTCCCAAGTTGTCCAACCACATGTCACACTGCCCAGGGATCAAACTCTCATTTCCTGAGGCTCCTGCCTGGCAGGCAGATTCTTTACCAAATGAGCCACTGGGCTTCCAAGGTGGCTCAGGCATAAAGAATTCGCCTGTCTCCTGCAAAAGACTTGGGTTCGAGGGTTCAGTCCCAAGGTTGGGAAGATCCACTGGAGAAGGAAATGGCAATCCACTCCAGTATTCTCATCTAGGAAATCCCATGGACAGAGAAGCCTGGCTGGCTACAGTCCATGGGGTGGCAAAGAATCGGACATGACTTAATGACTTAATGACTAAAGAATAAGTGAGCTGTACCATCTGAAATAAAAGTTATGTATCTGGAAACAAATCATCCCCATCCCCCCTCCCCCTCCCCCAAAATACTGAGAAGACTAAGAAGGGATTGAGTTATTTGAAACACACACTTTGGTTTTTTATATAAAGACAGGAGTCCACAACTCCCGTGATCCCAAACAAAAGGAGAAATTTCTGGTTTCCTAAGATGGCATAATCGCCAGTGGCAAGACAGTTATCTGAATCTGCGCTACACCAAATCGCCTAAAAGGTGAAGCCTAGTTGAATAGCTCCCATTCAATTCAATAGTACATTTATGGAACATTTACTCTCTGCTGGGTACCACAATAAATATTTTTGCTTGAAGTATTACTTTGCTTAATTTTCAACACTTGAAAGAAGGATATTATTTTCTTCTTTTAGAGATAATTAAACACCCAGGAAAGGTAACCAACTCATTGCTAATGCTGCTCATAGTTGGTTGAAACAAAATCTTAGGTATATTTTACTCCAAAGACTCCAATGTTCTTCCTCCCCACCACCCCACTGCCCTCCTTGGTTTTATACCATTTCACCACTAAGAAGGTGTTCCTGGTTCAGATTAAAGCCTTGGAATTGACATTCAGCACAGCACTAGATCAAACCCAGATCTCTTGCTTTGCAGGCAAATTCTTTACCTCTTTATTGTCTGAGCCCCCAGAGAAGCCCCCAGTGGTAAAGAACCCATCTGCCAATGCAGGAGATGTAAGAGATGCCATTTCGATCCCTGGGTCAGGAAGAGCCCCCGGAAGAGGAAATGGCAACCCCACTCGGTATTCTTACTGAGAGAATCCCATGGACAGAGCAGCCTGGCAGACTGCAATCTATAGGGTCTCAAAGAGTGGGACTTGACTGAAGCGACTTAGCATGCACGCAGGCACAGCACTAGATGAACTGTGACAGAGGGACTTGTTCATTTATGCATCAGATGTTTCTTGAGCACCTAGTAAATTCTAGGCCCTGTGCTTGGCACTGGAATATGAGAATGAATAAGCCATCATCCCTGCCCTCTAGGAGTTCAGTCACAGAAGGGAGGTTCAGAGAAACCAACAGTGATACTCCAGGGGGAAAGAGCTTTTCATTGAAACGTGACGAGATCACTGAGGAAGAACATCCAACTCAGGTCAATGCAGCGACCCAGAAGGAGCTCATGTTTGAGCTGTATTTTAAAGCTTCAGTAAGAATAAACTTTCCAGACTATGAGAATAGCTTGTCTAATAAACCCTGCAAAGGAACGTAGGATTTCATAAGAACATTTGAGAATGTGGTGAGAAATATGGCTGGAAAGTCAAGCCATTCAACTATACTTCAGTGAAAACATATACATATATAACCAAAAAGGTCAGTGAGAGGAGTGATTCAAGATGATATTAGAGAGGAGACTAGAGACCAGATAATCTACTGAGAAGCTATGATTATTCTGGAAACAAGTAAGAAGAGACACTTATGGTTCAAAGTATGACCAAGACTTCCTTTACATATGAAGATGTCAGCTCTCCCTGAATTAGTCTGTAAATTCAATATAATCCTAATAGAAGAAAAACAAAATAAAACAACCAAAAAGGTTAAGGCAGCATCAGCGGCGCTTTAACCTCTGACTGAGGGAGACAGGCTGGGTAATTCTGCTGTCGTTTAGTTGCTAAGCCATGTCCAACTCTTGGTAACCCATAGGCTGCCAGGCTCCTCTGTCCATGGAATTTTCCAGGCAAGAATACTGGAGTGGGTTGCCACTTCCTCCTCTAGGGGATCTTCCCAACCCAGGGATTGAATCCTAGTCTCCTGCATTACATTTAGATTCTATACCACTGAGCCACCTGGGAACACCAGCAGGTAGATTATACCTGTGGTTTTCGTTCTAGAAAGCCACAATATTAAAGAACAGTACATGTACAGACATAGGGACCAGTAGGAGAAATGTACTGGGTTAAGAGGCATTAATCTTTTAAAAATTCATTAAATTCTCCCAAGCCAGTAAGCAAATAAATAAAATCTTTAAAAATCAGCTCTATCTTTCCTAACACATGTAAGCACATTTTCCTTATTTCCTTACATTAGGTTTTTTTCTTATTCCCCTCTAAGTATTACCTATGTATATTGTTTTCTTAATTGAATTAAATTATAATCAAACTTTGAAGAAGTCCACAACTCTTCAATTTCCCCACTATAGCAGGGCTTGGAATCACTGTCCTGAGATACTTGTGGGGGTGGGGTGGGGGGAAGAATACTGGGGCAACTACACAGAAGAACATAAGCATTCTATGAACTTTAGGTCAAAATTATATTTTAAAAAAAGTCACCTTGTTCTTTTATGAGGTAAGGTCTCAGCACTTTAGCAAGACATCTTTAGCAGAAAATAAATATTTAAGATATGCAGAAAATTTGTTTGTGCCTGAGTAAAATTAAACTTGGACTCAATCTACCAAGAGTTGGAAAGAGAACTCTCCTCCCAGTCTCCTGCTGTACTAAACAGACTTTATAGATCTCTAAAAATAGGACTGATTTCCATGCACTTAATTGACACCTGCAAAAGTAGCTTTGAATTTGGCAGAAATTTCCTTCATATTTACATTCACAATGAACCACCTAACAAATGCCAGAAGAATGTGTTCGAGTTTGAACCACACCAGAGTTTATTTGAGCTGAAAAGCACCCTTAACACTAGACAGAAACAGTTTTGCTTGCTCAAAACAGCAGAGGAACATGAGCCCACCCCTGAAGGCGATCTGGACTCCCGCATGCTCAGATTTCAGCAAGAAAGTGTGCGTCAGTTTCTCCGTAAGTCACCGCCCCTAAACAAGTGGGGCGGGGTTTGGGGGGGTTGGGTAGGGCCAGGGAGAACTGTGACCTGACAGATGGCTGGGTTAGCTCATACTTTCCGCTCCTGTCACCTCCCCCCGCCCCAAGCCAGCTCCAGTCTGTACCCCTTGGCTTGTAAGCGCCGTGCTCCACTTACACGCAGGAGGGCGTCTGCTCGGCCAGCACGAAGCGACATCTCCCTTTAATGCAGTAATGCTTGTACTGTTTGGGGCACCGAGAGAAGTGGCCTCTTCTCTTTGGTTGGGTGGTGGTAACTGGAGAAGGAGAAATGACTCAGTAATCAGCTCACTTCAAATGCACATTTGTAAATGTAATAGAATTATATTCCTACCGGTGTCGCCAGTGTTTCTGCAGAATATACTCCAATTTCTCATCGCTCCTTCCCTCCACACTGGGATATGTCAGGCTTTGGGGACCAGAAACTTGCCCTAGAGATTGGCTATTGGGGAATGTGATGGGAATGTTTCAGATTTTAACTAAGATTTCTGTTCAAACGACCTCTCGGTAACTGCAGCGCTGTTTAAAGGGTAAACATAATTGTGATAGAAGAGAAGATTGGGAAGATTGTCAGAGGTGTGGGGCTGATGGCATTGAAAAGAGAGGAGGGTTTTTGTTTGTTTGTTTGTTTTTACTTTCTTCTTTTCCTTTTTTAAAACTTAAACACAGCACTTACTGAGTGCCAGATGCTGGTCAATATGCTTTTTTTATATAGAGAGTCACCCCTCGGTATCCGAGGAGACTGATTCCAGGACCCCAGCTGATACCAAAATCCAGAGATGCTGAGGACCCTTATATAAAATGGCATTTACAGTCAGCCCTCGGTATCGCCTGATTGGATCTGTGGTTGCCTGAATCTGAGGATGCTAACCAGAACCCGCAGATTGGGGTGGGGGGGCTGTATCAGCTCATTTAATGCTCATAACAGCCGTGTGAGGGAAGCACCATTCTAACTCCTATTTATGCATGGGTGCAGCACAACACTGGGAAAGACTGAGGCAGGAGGAGAAGGGGCCAACAGAGGACAAGACGGTTGGATGGCATCACCGACTCAGTGGACGTGAGTTTGAGCAAGCTCCGGGAGGCGGTGAAGGCCCGTGAGGCCTGGCGTGCTGCAGTCCACGGGGCCGCAAAGAGCCGGACACAACTGAGTGACTGAGCAACGACAAAGCACCGCACATAGAGGCTAAGTTACTTTCCCAGATCCCGCAGCTAGCGCGTGGCAGAGCTGGGACGCGAACCCAGGCAGGCTGTGCATTTGACTGCTCCCCTCTGCCAGGCAGGCAGCAGTCACCTGCCCTCTCCCTGAGGCACCCTCAGGTCCTGCTTCTCTGAATCGAGATTATCCCTCTCATCGGACCCCTGCAGGGCTCTTCCCGTCTGAACGAGAAAAAGACTGGAAGCTTCATATCCAGGATTTCATTCCCTATACTGACTTTTTTCTGACCTTTTAGCATCTTAATTGCCTAATTTTTCAATTAGGGAAATAGCGGGGGATAATATGGAGCAACTTCTCCATCATTTACCTGTAGAAAATTTCAATAAACAAGGGCTGTCAAGAGAAACACTAAAAAATGCTAACTAGCTGTTTCATGGGTTGATTCACAACAAACACCTGCCCACACCCAGAGAAAACAGCTAACTAGCCAGCTGACCCAGGGTCGGACATTCGATTGTCATGGTATGACCAACAGCTCGCAGGACTCAGATACCTGTGAAATCAGAAAGTCCATGGTGGTCACTACAGAAGGGCATTGCACATTAGGTTTGGTATGGCACCTGTCACCTCGATGACGTTAAACAATCCTTTTAGAGATAGCAATGACCACTGAACTTTTAATTAATATTGTGAAATGAGTAAATATATAGCCACCCAGGGTCACCACAAAGGACACTCGCAAAGGACTCTGGCTGATGGATACAGAGGAAATTCCTGGGATGCCAGGTCACAGAGTTTCAGAGGGTGGAAGAACATTGCAGATGAACTGGCTGACCTGGTTTTGGTCGGTGACTTGATTACCAGTCATGCTGACTGCTTGTATGTGCCAGACATTTGTTCCCATGCCTGCCAGTCAATGGACTCTGATTGAAATTTCTCCCATAAATAACTGCAAAATATCTCAAAGGCAAAGATCTGTGTATTTTGGCAAATAAATTGATCGAATGAAAATCAACTTCCATTCATTGAGTAGTTCCTCTTTCCAGAGGCCTGTAGTAAGCACTAGAAAACATCAAAGAAATAAGAGATACCCTATCTAACTAGCTACATTGGCATGATAGAACAAATTTAATTCAATAATAAGCAACAAACCAGTGAAAACAACCATAGTAACCATGTAAACAGTGTGGTACACTGGAAATAGTGGAAGAAACGCTGGCTTAAGAGGAAGGAAATCAGTGTTTCGTTTTCAGCTCTGCCTTACATGAGCCATATAGGTCCAAGCAAGCTACTTAAGCTGTCTGAGCCTCAGTTCCATGATCTGGAAATTGAAGATGATAACATCTACCTTGCAGTACTTGGATGCAGTCTCAAAAACAACAGAATGATCTCTGTTCGTTTCCAAGGCAAACCATTCAATATCACGGTAATCCAAGCTTATGCCCCAACCAGTAACGCTGAAGAAGCTGAAGTTGAACGGTTCTATGAAGACTTACAAGACCTTTTAGAACTAACACCCAAAAAAGATGTCCTTTTCATTATAGGGGACTGGAATGCAAAAGTAGGAAGTCAAGAAACACCTGGAGTAACAGGCAAATTTGGCCTTGGAGTACAGAATGAAGCAGGGTAATGGCTAACAGAGTTTTGCCAAGAGAACGCACTGGTCATAGCAAACAGCCTCTTCCAACAACACAAGAAGAGACTCTACACATGGACATCACCAGATGGTCAACACCAAAATCATATTGATTATATTCTTTACAGCCAAAGATGGAGAAGCTCTATACAGCCAGCAAAAACAAGACCGGGAGCTGACTGTGGCTCAGATCATGAACTCCTTATTGCCAAATTCAGACTGAATTGAAGAAAGTAGGGAAAACCACTAGACCATTCAGACCTAAATCAAATCCCTTATGACTATACAGTGGAAGTGAGAAATAGATTTAAGAAACTAGATCTGATAGAGAGCCTGATGAACTATGGACGGAAATTCATGGCATTGTACAGGAGACAGGGATCAAGACCATCCCCATGGAAAAAAAATGAAAAAGGCAAAATGGTTGTCTGAGGAGGCCTTACAAATAGCTGTGAAAAGAAGCAAAGGAGAAAAGGAAAGATATACCCATTTGAATACAGAGTTCCAAAGAATAGCCAGGAGAGATGAGAAAGACTTCCTCAGCGATCAATGCAAAGAAATAGAGGAAAACAACAGAGCGGGAAAGACTAGAGATCTCTCCAAGAAAATTAGAGATACCAAGGGAACATTTCAGCAAAGATGGGCTCAATAAAGGACAGAAATGGTATGGACCTAACAGAAGCAGAAGATATTAAGAAGAGGTGGCAAGAATACACAGAAGAACTGTACAAAAAAGATCTTCACGACCCAGATAGTCACGATGGTGTGATCACTCACCTAGAGACGGACATCTTGGAATGTGAAGTCAAGTGAGCCTTAGAAAGCATTACTATAAACAAACCTAGTGGATGTGATGGAATTCCAGTTGAGCTATTTCAAATCCTAAAAGATGATGCTGTGAAAGTGCTGCACTCAATATGCCAGCAAATTTGGAAAACTGAACAGTGGCCGCAGGACTGGAGGATTCCAATCCCTAAGAAAGGCAGTCCCAAAGAATGCTCAAACTACCACACAATTGCACTCATCCCACACGCTAGTAAAGTAATGCTCAAAATTCTCCAAGCCAGCCTTCAGCAATATGTGAACCGTGAACTTCCAGATGTTCAAGCTGGTTTTAGAAAAGGCAGAGGAACCAGAGATCAAATTGCCAACATCCGCTGGATCATCGAAAAAGCAAGAGAGTTCCAGAAAAACATCTATTTCTGCTTTATTGACTACGCAAAAGCCTTCGACTGTGTGGATCACAATAAACTGTGAAAAATTCTGAAGGAGATGGGAATACCAGACTACCTGACCTGCCTCTTGAGAAACCTGTATGCAGGTCAGGAAGCAACAGTTAGAACTGGACATGGAACAACAGACTGGTTCTAAATAGGAAAAGGAGTACGTCAAGGCTGTATATTGTCACCCTGCTTATTTCACTTATATGCAGACTACATCATGAGAAACGCTGGGCTGGATGAAGCACAAGCTGGAATCAAGATTGCCGGGAGAAATATCAATAACCTCAGACATGCAGATGACACCACCCTTATGGCAGAAAGTGAAGAGGATCTAAAGAGCCTCTTGATGAAAGTGAAAGATGAGAGTGAAAAAGTTGGCTTAAAGCTTAACATTCAGAAAACTAAGATCATGGCATCTGGTCCCATCACCTCATGGGAAATAGATGGGGAGACAGTGGAAACAGTGTCAGACTTTATTTTTGGAGGCTCCAGAATCACTGCAGATGGCGACTACAGCCATGAAATTAAAAGACGCTTACTCCTTAGAAGGAAAGTTATGACCAACCTAGATAGCATATTAAAGAGCAGAGACATTACTTTGCCAACAAAGGTCCATCTGGTCAAGGCTATGGTTTTTCCAGTGGTCATGTATGGATGTGAGAGTTGGACTGTGAAGAAAGCTGAGTGCAGAAAAATTGATGCTTTTGAACTGTGGTGTTGGAGAAGACTCTTGAGAGTCCTTTGGACTGCTAGGAGATCCAACCAGTCCATCCTAAAGGAAATCAGTCCTGGGTGTTCATTGGAAGGACTGATGCTGAAGCTGAAACTCCAGTACTTTGGCCACCTCATGCGAAGAGTTGACTCATTGGAAAAGACCCTGATGCTGGGACAGATTGGGGGCAGGAGGATAAGGGGACGACAGAGGCTGAGATGGCTGGATGGCATCACCGACTTGATGGGCATGGGTCTGGGTAGACTCCAGGAGTTGGTGATGGACAGGGAGGCCTGGCGTGCTGCAATTCATGGGGTCGCAAAGAGTCGGACACGACTGAGTGAGTGAACTGAACTGAACTGAACTGAAAGGGCTGTTGAGAGGCTCAAGTAAAAGAACACATGTGGAAATTCTTAACTTCCCAGGTGGCGCTATTGCTAAAGAAACTGCCTGCAATGCAGGAGACCCAGGTTCAATCCCTGGGTCGGGAAGAAGTGGAGAAGGAAATGACAACCCACTCCAGTATT